TGTGAAAGTCCAAAGTGTTTCTCTGAAATGCAAGTAGTTTCTGATCTTTCTTTTTTTTTATCATGTTTTACAAATTTTATTCAGTTTTACTGTTGTGGTGTTTTGATTTACATAAGTATTGAGTGTAGAATGATGATTCTCAAATATAAGAAATGTGTTAGGCAAATCAAGGATATTATAAGAATAGTAAGAAGAAATAATTCTTACATTTAATGATATAAATGTTATTTTACCTTTTTGGAGGAAGTAAAAGCATTTTCCTTTTCTTAGATGTAAAAATGTAAAAAAGGCACTGTTTGTACTGAAATATAACTGCACTTTAAGAACTGTTTTAGGTCTCTTGTTGGTCTTGGAACTACCTTGTCAGTCATGCTCATTCTGATGTCCATAATAATGATCTTCTGTCCATTAATCACCACAAATTCCACTGTTAGAAGCATCTTCAGAAAAGATTAAGATCACAGCAATTCTCAACCTATGGTCTGTGGAAAGGTTGCATAATTACAGAAATGAAGCAGCAGCATATTGTATAGATCCATTTGTGGTCTGCTGAGATGCAAAAAAAAAAACAGTTCAAGTAGCCATAAGTCTATCCTGGTAGCATTACACTGTTGAATGGTCGAGGTTTGTTAGGACTAGATTTATGTGAACTAAACATGTCTCCCTTCACACCAAAGATTGCATCTGAGAGACACATCGCTGAATTGAGATATGTGAATCGTTCTAAAAATCTGCAAGTATCCCTTTATAGAATTTTGTCCCCAGCCCAGAAGATCAGTAATTCAATAATGTAATTAATGTAGATTTAACTTTTCTTTTCAGAGTATTCCTTACCAAAGGACTTAAGTACAACTTAGAAATGATATTGTTTTGTAAGTATATAAAAAATTTCTAAACTTTTGGTAATAGAAATGCTGTTGTGACACTGAGTTACAAAAAAATACTATAAATTTTACTTTGCTCAACAATAGTTGTACGAATTTACCATTTTCCTTTGTCCTTTTGTGTGTTTTTTTGCTGTCGGCTGTCAATGAAAGTTAAGCCTACTTTTTTATACTAATGGTACTAGTATACTAAATAATTTTTATTTAATTAAATAATGCACCTAAGAACACAGAATAATAACATACATGAAGCAAACAATGTCCTATAACTGTCATAATTTATCTGGTTTTCTAACTGTTTGGTAAGAGCCTTTACAAATTTAGCTAAGCTTGTTGGTGCGAATACTGTGAGAGAAAATTTCTAACTGTAAATGAAGTAGATAATACTATGTACAGAAAACTGTGTAATATAATACGTAATTTGATATACTAAAACTTTGGCTTTCTTTTGGTTATAAGTAATATAGCATAAAATGTCAGAGGATGAAAGAGAGGATGTGACAGGTAGGCACGGCAAGTAGGTCTGATTTTCTAGTTTATGGCTCTGTAAACAAATAAGGTTGAAGACTATAAAAATTATTCTTTGCTTTAGTAATACATATATTATAAGGTGTAATTTACATTATATTCTGTACTTCTTAGAGGGGTGTTAACTAAATCAGAGGAGAGGGAAGACCTTGAGAGCAAATGTCACAATTTTCACACTAGGAGAGATTAAGGATTTTTAAAAACATACATAATGTTACAATTAAAACTTGATTCACCAAATGTTAGATATACATGACTGTTTCAGTTTAAGTTAATGCAAGAGTTATGATTTAGTTAGCTATGTAGGGAGAGTGTTAAACATAGTTATTTTTAGAAGCAGTAGTTTATTGCAAGTTTGTTTACATAACTATTTACGAATCTTACATTGTGTAGTTCACTAGTTATAAATTGGTGATCATTATATTATTGCTTCATGTTGCTAGAACCTTCTAAGTTTTTCTCATTGTTTTAATTGAGTATTATTGAATCACAATGTCTCGTAGTGTGTGTGGAATGTTCTAGGCCTCTGTTGGGGTATAAAAACACATCCAAAATGTAGTTTGATAGAGTTAGGGAGATCAAGACTGCATGATTGTTAGTTTAGCCATAAATAATATATAGTGTTGGTTTTTAAAGTGAAATTATTACAGATTGTATTGTAATAACAGAGTAGAGAAGAAATAACTTGTCTTGTCAATTGTGTTTTAAAGGAATTGAACTAGCCTGTGTGGACTTTAACGGAAAAAGAGACACTTATTTAAAGCTTTCTATACAACTATGGTAACCAACAATTATATTGGTGATTTTAAAGTGAAATTATCACAGTCTGTTTTGTAATAACAGAGCAGGGGAATAATTTGTCTTTTCAAATTCTGTTCTAAAGTAACTGAACCAGCTTGTATGGACTTTGACAAAAAATAAACAATTACTTAAAGCTCCAGATACAACTGTCATAACCAAAAATGTAATGGACATTTGTATATACATATGACTTGTTTTAATATATTATTTCAAAACAAGTGGACTGTGTGCTGTTTGTTTATTGTTGAAATTTATCACCAACAAGTCTCGTATACCTACTGTAAAGAATCTGGCCCATACATTAAAACCTGACATTAACTATGTTTTAATGCCAAGTTTATTCGTATACAGTGACAATAAAGTAGTTTAATTAAACTTTGAATGTAATTCTCAAAAAGGTCACGACATGCACCTACCCTTAGCGAGAGGATTAATTTTACTTGACCCACCTAAAATAATTTCATGTATTACATTTTATAACTATAATCTTAAAATTTATTGCCATCCCTGCTGAAGTACAAAATTACTGCCTGACTTGATGATATTGTCATACACCACAATTATCTGTTGTTGTGTGTATTTAGGTTGAATTAGACATTAAATCTATTGTTTTTCATCGTTTTCAACCATTGCCTTCCATTAGCAAGATGCTTGATTTATAATGATAATTTATTTTGGGCACTTTTGTATTGGAATTTAAAGTAAATATTTTGTTGTGAAATATACATTTAATGCTTTATGTACCTTTACACAGCTTGTGATGTCCAGTAATTTTCTATGAAATGTGACATTCAAAAATTAAAGTGATAAAATTCATTCCAGTCACATTTGACATTGTTAGAACTTTTAATGGGTGTCATTTACCTTTGGAGACAACTTGTAACAACATGAGAGAAAGACATTTCTTCAATTGACTAATAATGCTACTTGTTGACAATGTTGCTCATGGACTTTTTTTTTCTGCTCTTTATTTTGTGCTTCATTCAAAGAACTTCTTCAAGTCTGAAGCCTCAAACATCATCTAAAGGTCAATAGAAGGAGATGATAACAAGCATTGTCAACAACTGTTATTTTATATATAACACCTTAAGATTGGTGAGACGTGATCTTTTATTGGGTAGTTTTTTTACATTACATTACAATAAGAATGATGGTAATATTTTACAGATGTTTCTTTACTGACCTTATATTACAAGTTTCTAATAAAAAGAAATGTATTAGAATCTCAACTGCACATATCATGCACTGCACACCACTGCTGAAGAGGCTTTCATAGTACAGCTTTAAATAAATAATGTTTCAATCTAAACTGTGTGTGTGTTGCATTTCTTGACGACTTAATAGTCATAGTTTATTATAAAACATTCTATAAAATCTCCTTAACTCTTAACTTCAATATAATTTCTTCTATGCAATCTCTAAAAATAAAATTGCAATTACTTAGTCTGCATCTCCCTGCTCCTTCCGTTACAATAACTGCGTTATTCACATGTTCCACACCAACTGCAAAATGATGGTCTCTCCATGGCTTTCCACACGCCCAATCAAAATTTCTCTCTAAATTCTTATATCTAATCTAATCCCAGTGGCTCATTACAAATTCATTTGGCACGTAATCTCTCGACGTGTGGAGTGAAGAGAAACAAAAGTTTCTGACCACCCTGGGTTATCTTTTAGGCCCCAGAAAGAGACCTCAATAATTTTTAAACCTAAATTCCTGCCACGAATTTTATTTTATTTGTATTGTAGGATCAGTTCAGAAAGATTTCTAAAACAAATCATTAGTCTTATTGAATTGTAATATCACAAACTACCAATGACGATGAAGATGGTTGACAAAACATTTTATTTTCAATGTTCAAATGTTTCAGAATACACTTATTCGATCTTCAGCGAAATATAAAAATTGTGCTACAAAGATATTTATTAACTAAAACTATACTATTGTTAACCAATAGTTAACTTAGTTATTAAGTAAGGTAGTAAAGAGAAGAATAAAACGAAAAGGTTATAGATATATTGCAAAACAGTTGAGTTTTAAGTGTGTAAACTTAGAATAATTTTAGATCTAAAGAGGTTTGTAAGTGATTAAGTGTAGGGCGATCTTTAGTTCTGAATAAAATTTCTTTCGTATAGAGTTCAAGACCTGAAGATCTTGTAGTAATGACTGAGAAATTTGTTAAATGAAATATTGTGAACCCTGGTTTCAGCGTATGAACAAATGGATTAGTGGCTGGGTTTAATTAGTGGACGGTTGGTTCTGTTAGATACTCCTAAATGTTCACATCCTAGTTTTCAAGTGGCTGTTTATTTTGTAGTTGATCTTTATATCAAAATAAATAAGACTATTTTTAATATCTTTATCTTGAAATAAACCTATTTCTCACTGTTGCATAGGTAATTATTTTGTAAACATGATCATTACAAGTTGTAGTGTCACAATAGCTAGATGTTATGTAATAACAACTTGGATTTTTTATTTTTTATTCTTAATTTTTTTACATCTTTTCAAAAGGGGGACCATGGGCTCCATTTGAAAATAGCTGGCATTTGAAAGAAGATTTCAAAAAAGTTGGAAAACGAAAAGAGGTTGCAAAGAAGTGAGTAAAATTAGAAGCAAATCTTTTATTTAACTTGGTTTTTATGTAATTAAGTTAGAATAACAAGCTGTTGTATTAAATATTGTATGAAATTAAAAGAGGATTCTGTTTTTAACAAGGTCAGCTGGTTGCTTTTTTTTGTACAAGCATCATATTGAGAAATTTTTACATGTTGCAAAAAGTGTATTATTTTTAGCCTTGTAGTACAATGGAGGTTTACACGTGTATGTTACTTCTCTCTGAGAACTAATAATCTATGAGATACAAATAAGTTAAACTCACCTATTAGTTAACATTTGAATGAAAAATAATTTACATCACTCAAACCTTTCAGTCTCAAATTAGTGAAAGTGGGTAAATATGCATGCTTTGTTGACCTAAATGTGAAAATATACTTCCATTTATGTGGAAGTAAAACACTAAAATTTTAAGTAAAAATGAATAACAAAAGTTAGAGTTATAAATTGAAATAAAAAGCAGACAGTTAAATGTAGCAGTAGTTAATTTAAAAAATGTATTATGCTGCTGTCTTTAATCGTATTTGGATTTTAATCAAACCAGAGACATAATTTACTGTCATGTATTTCTCTTTGAAACAGGCTGTCCAAGCATATATTATGGATTGGATTAGCCAACTTTCTTCTCTGTCCTATTGTGCTACTATGGCAAGTGCTGTATTCTTTCTTCAACTATGCTGAAGTCATTAAGCATGACCCCAGTGTTTTGGGAGCTCGTCGATGGTCACATTATGGAAGGTTATACTTACGACACTTCAATGAATTAGATCACGAGTTAAATGCAAGGTATGACTGAGTACTTTACGTAAAATACTTTAATAATGTTAGTATATATATCAAGACACGTGATAGTGTGTTGTGCAACCAACAAAAAACTAAACTGCATGCCAGTGTGTTATTAATAGGAATAAAAACTTTGAGTTTTTCAACTATCAGTATAATCGCCCCTGTTAAACAAAACTCACCCCATTTTTTGTATGGTAGGTCTACCAGATCTTCTTACCTTACAAACCCCATTTTAAAGAAATTGCTTTAACCCTTATCATTTTACAACAGGCCATGCTTAGCCTGAAATTCTCTGTTTTATTGTACTTCTTCTTTGCACCAGTGAAATGACACAAATTTCCCATTAATCGATTGGTTTCTAATTTGATACATAGCTGGCATGTATGTTCTCATGGTTATAGTAGCTCAAGTGTTCTCAGAGATATGAGGAAAAAGTAAGCTAAAAATCTTGTACAAGAGAAAAATAGGCTAATTCAAACATTCTGCAATTTCCATCACACATTAGGGTATTCATAAAAGTAGACTGTTTTTAATTTTTTTTAAATCTGACACAAAATGCAGAAAGTATGAGCCCAAAACCGCCATTGTGTACAAATTTCACATGATTTTGGCGTACTACTTTGTATCAGACTTCAAACTAATAAATGTCAAACTATACAAGGAACATGATATCTATTGAAAAACAACTTGGCTGGAAAAGGTGTGGACAAAAATAAAGCAACTGAAAAATATGAATTCAAAGTTGTTGAAGTATTAAAGAAACCCACATGCAATTATAATGTCTCCAAAGTTAATAGGTGCTTGATGCTAATTATTCCAAACTATAACTGAGTATCAAATTTATGTCCCTCGTGGTTATTTTTACCTAAAGTATAACAAAAAGAGTGATAACTGTAAAAGCTGTAAAAAAAAAAGATGCGGCCAAAATGAGAAAATATTATGCAAACAATTGTGACTACGATTTGAAAATTTTACAAAATTTGTTGAGTATGCACATCTACAACAAGAAATCACATTGTTTGCTGTTTTTTGTTGGTATGTAGCTAAACATAAAACGGCAACCCATGTGATTTCTTGTAGTGGATATGCATACTCAAAAAATTTTGAATGCTTATTCACAGAAATTTGCATAAAATTTTATCATCAATATTTTCTCATTGTGGCTGCAATCTTTGATTTCACATCTTTCTTTGGCAATTCTGTCTCTTTTTGGCCATACCTTTTTTTTTTTACAGCTTTTACAGTTATCACTTTTTTTTTTGTTTTACTTTAGGTAAAAATAACCACGAGGGACATAAATTTGATACTCAGTTATAGTTTGGAATAATTAGCATCAAGCACCTATTAACTTTGGGGACATTATAAT